CTTCGTCTTGATTTTCACGTTACACCTGATCCTGAAATTCGATTGGTTGTTATTACAAGGGGTGGAAAAAATTTTGTAGGACAGCTAGGGGCTTTGGGTTTTGGTGGTTATCTAGAGATCTCGACATTCGAGGTAATTTTTTTTTTGGTTATTGATACGCATGTTGGTAATTTTCATAAGATTTAATGGAATATAAAATAATATAGAGTAAAGCTTATATTAGCCCGGCTGGCGTAATCGGATAACGCACCAGACTTCTAAACAGCTGAGATCTGGGGATTGCGGGTTCGAGTCCCGCGTCGGGTAAAATAATCTCTCATTTTTGCATTGATTGGTTGTCCGTTTTACACAAAATTCAAATTGTTTTTTCAAAATATTATTATTAAACATTTTTGTCTTGTCCGTGGCGATTAAACTAAGCAAAAATGAGTGGTAGTTCGACACGTCCAGCCGAGAATGCAGAACCGCCTGTTCAAGAATCTTCTCCAGCAATCCATGCTGCTGATCTTACGACTATCCAAGTTCTAACAGAGGAAGCTACCAAGGACTTTCTTTTACAAGATTATGAAAGTGCGGTTTCCAAGTTTTCAGATGCTTCCGAAATAATGTAAGTGTCAACGCGTATAATAAGTCCCAATATGCGATAAACGCGTAAAAGGAACAGATTATACCTATTTTCACGCTACTTGTTACACCTTTCTTTCTTCTATGATAATTTTTTATAGTTTGTATTTTGATTTCACTTCTCAGTGGTCAATGTTATGGTGTTGATTCGGAAGAATACGCCGAAGCCCTATACAAGTATGGTAATGCACTACTTGAAAACTCTCGAACTCAAAATACTGTTCTTGGACATCAAGCAATTCCACAAACTTCTGCAACAGACATTCCGACAGGTACTAAAGAAATTATCTTTTTTACATATCTATTAATTATTTTTATTAATTTAAACATATTGTTTGAAGATGATCTTCAGGCCAACACCTCGCGTTTTTATTTTGAAGGGGATGATGAAAGTGATAGTAGTCAACCTGAAAATGGTGGTCATGTCGATTCCCAAGCTGAGGAAGCGAGTGCATCCGAACTATTAGAAGAACAAGGAGATGATCTCAGTCTTGCATGGGAAATATTAGAATATTCCCGTGATATATTTTCTCATATTAAAACAGAATCGGCAAAGAAGTCTCTTGGAGAAGTATATATTAAATTGGGCGATGTTTCTCTTGAAAATGGTAACGACCCTTCTTTACTTTACTTCATATATAGTGATAAACATCATGTTATCAAATTGTTTTAAGTTTTAAAATCTATTAACACGACATAAAGCAATATTTCAAAATTTATGGTGCCCATCGTAAAGAATGAAATGTTGGTGAATTTTTAAAAGTATTGTCTTATCTCTGAGTTAATAGATTTTAAACATTAATGCAATCCTATTATTTTTTAAGCTCTTGATAAATGGTAGAAATGATTTAATCCATTTCATGTAATATATTTATAGAAAAGTTCGATCAAGCGGCGATTGATTATAGAGAAGGTGCCAAGCTAAAAGCAGAGACACTTCCTGAAGGCGACCGGCAAATAGCAGAGGCATATCCTTTAATAATACATATTTATTCCAAAATTCAAATTATTTACTTTTATCATGAAAGTAGACCTTAACTCATTATATACTCACTGGAGATTGTCTTTGGCACTTGAATTGATTCCAGATAAATCCAATCAAGATGAAGCAATTGTACATGTACAAAAAGCCATAGAAGTATTGAATAAGCGTAAGGAAATTCTGCAAGCACGATTGAATGACTATCAGGAAACGAGTGGTAAAGGAAAAAAAATAGCTACAGATGACGATGATACTGTACTAATTGACAAAGAAATAAAGGACATTGATGAGTTCCTTGTGGAAATGGAATCAAAAGTATATATTATTAATTGGTTATTATTACTTGGTGTTAATTTTCTAAATAATCAAATAATTGTTATTTAAAGATTGCAGACATTCAGGCAGCAAAACTTTCTCAAGAACAAACAATACAAAAATCCAGTGATATTGCACTTGAGGAATATGTGAAACTGCTTTCTTCATGTGAACCATCATCTAGTTCGATAGAGACATCGTCAACAACTCCTGTGAACGACTTGACATCACTTATTAAAAGGAAGACGACTAATAATAGCAATGCGACTGATACTCCCAAAAATAATACGACTGAGACACCGATACAAGAAGAAGAAAAGAAACGAAGGGCAGAAATAAAGGCTGATACTGATGAATATGGAGGAGAAAATGAATTGAATCCGAATAAAAAAGTCAAGCAATAGTTATTGTAGTCGATTAAAAATCTATAAGCTTAACCGATTCGATAATTTTGATACGGATAAGCGGCTTGATCGGCTATTACATCATAATATTAAATCTGCCAATAATAGTTCAAAATTTTGAACTATAAGCTATAATCCGAAAACTCCTGCTGGCCATGCTTGTACTTTATGTTTTATTTTACATGAATAAAAAAACTGCCTAATAAATAAAAAAAACGATAAGCATTGTTATGTAACGTTTCCAAAGTGAATACGTAGTGATGAAGCCAGCTAAGGCTAGGAAGAAATTCGTCTTTGTTGGCTAATTTTTATTGATTTACCCGTGATAATTAACCAATCAAATTACATAATAAAAAAATTAATGCTATTACCAGGAAACTTATACGTATAAAACATGTTAGGCAAGTATTCAATCAAAATTTTATATTATTGAATGGTCGACATTATAACAGCGTCAGGGTGTAGGATAGATTTTCCGATCACATGATTATTAGCCAATGGATAACTACCCCAGCATCCGGAAAATCTATGGACAGTGTTCAAACAGGAGCGACCGTCAAGGTTACACAAGCTGCCGATAACCTCCGGCCATCAGTCAGCCAATCAAAATTTCAAGG